TGTATTCACCTAAAAAAATGTTTCATGTACACCTCCCAAAATAAGAGAAATTGCTCAGAGTTCAATGTCCTCATCATTGTGGACCTTGTATTCGATGCTAAGAACGTGTTTAAACATCCATAGACAAAAATTATCACATTGACAACTAGAAAAATTAATGACCCAATGTCACCAACATGAACTAGTTCCATAAAATGTTACTAAAATCTCCTTACAGCATCGGGTGCTGTAAGGAGTCTCATTACAGCACCCGTTTGAGTACAGTTATAGCTTTCATTACCGTCGCGAATTACAAAAAATTAATTTCAAAACCTTACTTACAATTCCTTCAACCATGACTGCTATTGGAACTATTCCAGTTGCTTCAGCAACTTGATGTTCAATCAAATAAAACATATATTCATCATAAAGTAGTCGAATTAAATGAAACGATCCAAAACTTGCTGCTGAACGTAAAGTTAAATCTCGTATTACCATGGAACTAAAATTACAAAAACAAAATTATTAATTTTTAAAATCCAACTTTAAATTATTTTAGTCCGCAACTTTAGTACCTATAAAAGCTCCATTTTAATAAAAATTGTCTTGCAGCTTTAGAAAACATTGGCTTTCCTTCGTACGGTTTCAACGCGCTTTTTACGACGTTTTTCAACCACGAAGCCCATTGTTCAAGAGAATTTTGTTGTTGCAACGTTAATTTGAAATCGGCTTCGAAACGAGCGACGATTTCATGGTCGCATTGACACACCCATGATGCTTGTTCACGAACGCTATGAAAATCGACTCGATTTAAATCAGCAAGCATCTGAGCAATTTGAGTACTATTATGTAAAACAGCGCGAGCGGCCTGAGCTAAGTGATTTAAAGATGTGTAACGTCTTAAACTTGAACTAAATGCTGAAACCGCGGTTAACTTCGCTGAGAGCATTCCCGAAGGAGCCCCAGTCATAGCTGTAGTTAACCAACTTTCTAAACCTAAAAAATTATTATTATTATGATTAAATTAAAAGTGTTTTAAAAAAACCTTACTTTTGGCAAAATTACGTATAGATTGTGTTAAAGTAGCCGGGATGGGTTTTAAAACATCTGGGACTAGAACTTGTATTAAGTTTTGATAAAAAATTAAATCAACGTTCCTTATATATGTTTGAACGGGTTCCAAGGTGCAAAGAGCAAATAATTTAGATTTTGACAAATATTTTTCTTCTTCACATTCATCGCCGTTATTATTATCTTGCGATCTCCAAAACTCTCTCCAAAGCGATTCAACAGTACAAAATTCTAAGCTCATAATCGCATCAAGAAAGGCTTCTAAATGTTCTCGATAAATTGATCTAAAATTAATAAAAAAAAAAACACGGTTGCATCTCAATTTTAAATTACAAATTATAATCAAAAAATAAGAAGCTAAATTTATTATTACTTTAACGTATCAACATCGTCATAGGAACATTCCTTAGGTAAAGGCCCTGGAATTATAATACTCGGAAAATTTGGAATCGCATTACTTCCGTCGCCAAGGTAGGATAAATGTTGCGAAATAACCCCGACAGAAACAGAAGAATCTGAAGAGTCACTACTCCTTTTAAATCCTCTATTCACATTTCCAGAAACTTTTCCAGACATATTATTTGCCGTTTGAACCGTTCTACTCCCCGTTTCTTCAATCGTTGTCAAAGGCGAACCAGGTTTCACTCGAATACCATAATAATGATACTTTGAGTTCCCTCTATGATAAAAAAAATTTAAAAAAAAAGTTTTTTTCGATAAATTGTTGAATACCTTGTCCCCAAACGCCTTGTACGTAATCCCAAGAAAACCGATCGTATTAATTTACCAAACGATGCGGCGTTAACGGGTTCTAATTTGTGATCGGCGCAGTGACGTAAGTAATGAGCGTAAAGCGTAGATCTTGGAAGTGAAACACCTTCGGCTGTTTCGTAATTTTCTAAAAGCCATTGAACCTATTATAAACAAGGATTTTTATTTAAAACATTGTATTATTTAAAACAGGATCAAATGAAAAGAAAAATAAATGTTAAATTGTATTGATGAAATAAAAAACTACAAGAAAACTAGAAATTGTGTGTAATTATTGTTATATGCAACAGAAAATAAGTATTCCATAAATAACAAATAATTTCCGATCAGATGTCGATCTGAACACATCCGAAATGCGGCAAAAATCAAGGAATGTAAAATCAGTAATGAAAAAATTAAAATAACACTTAATTTTTACAAATATGCTGAATGCGAGTACTTGAAGCTAAGCTAAATTGGCTAAAGTAATACATCTTTTGTATATGAAATATTTCAGTTTTTTGTAACATGATTTTATCCGACTAACAAGGGAAGTATCAGAACTGTCCCTCACCGATTTTGTCGAAATTTGGTGCAGCGAGCGATAGTATGGCCAAAAATAAGGTTTACGTATTTTTTTATACGTGCTAATAAAGCCCCTGGGGCGAGTTATAAGGGTTGAAAATCGGGGCGAAATATACAGGGTGTCTCACGTAATTAAAAAAAACCTCTAAATTGGCACGTTTACTCTTCAGATGTTGCCAAATAGATTGTCATTTGTTGTATCAGAGAATCTTATACAGGTTGGTCAAAAATTGAATTATCGTTTCTCAATATTCAATTGCAAGAAAGTCGAAAATTTTAAATGGAACACCCCATATTTCTTTACCCTATCAGAAAGGGAATTTAATTCTCTACAAATTATCTATAAACATTCCTATACCTATTTATTATAGTTTCCCTGATATTGGGAAATTAATCAAAGCATGCACGGAATGCGGGAAAACGTTTAATTTTTTTATAAGAAGGCCATGGAATTTTGACAGTTTTTGGTCCATATTTATGTTATTGTTGTTGTTACTTACTTTTGATCACGAGTGAAAGTCATTGTACATCATGGCAAATTATACCAATGCCGATATTTTAAATTTGTTTTATATTCATGGCAATGGCCTCCACGATCTCCAGATTTAACACCATTGGATTTTTATTTGTGGGGTCACTTGAAAAATCAAGTGTACAATTCACCGGTCAACACACGACAAGAGTTGCGTACACTACGTACTATTGATGGCGACCAACTTGTACGGGCCACAATGGTAGAAGTCGAAAGAAAAGTTGAAAAATGTTTAATGGTGAATGGTCAGCATATCGAACAGTTTTAATTTTTTTATAATTTTAAGTTTTTGTTTTTTTATATGTTATTCATTCTAATTTCTGTTATTAAATTGTTGTTTTTCATTGTTTCATTTATTCGTTTTTCTGTTGGTTATTTTTGGTAAATAAAAGCGAGCAAGCTAAAGGTTATTCAACCATAGTTAATTGTAGAAATAATACCAATAATAATTTAAATAAATTAAACGATGAACTGTCAAAATGTCTTNAATATATATATTCGCTTATAGGCTGAAAACGAAAATAGCTATCGAAATGTGGTAAACGTAAACTGATATTCATTTTCAAAGAGCTTTCCATTGATATATCACACATATATCTGAGGGCTTCAGGGGGTAAACTTAGTTTTTTGGAATATTTTAAAAACTACCTGTTGATTTTGGCGATATTATGTATCCTTATAGTACGTTTAAAAGTATTAATGACGTGTTTTTTCTTATTTGCCTCTGACCATCCCACAGTGTTAGGAAATGTGAAATTACTGGCCATAATATGATTTTACTAATTTTCTTTTTTAATATTTTGGCAAATGGGGATCGTTAGGTTATATCGTAATACTCGCTACTCCGCAATAACCACTTTTTATTAACTTCANATTGAATATTGAGAAACGATAATTCAATTTTTGACCAGCCTGTATAAGATTCTCTGATACAACAAATGACAATCTATTTGGCAGCATCTGTAGAGTAGTCGTGCTAATGCAGAGCAATGTCGTGCTTTTTAAAATATTCCAAAAAACTAGGGGCAGTTTACCCCCTGAAGCCCTCAGATATATGTGTGATATATCAATGGAAAGCTCTTTGAAAATGAGTATCAGTTTACGTTTACCACATTTCTATAGCTATTTTCGTTTACAGCCTATAAGCGAATATATCGGTATTTCTATAGAAACTATCATTTTTGCTGTTACCGGTAACAATTTCGACTACAAAATTACTTACAACTTACTACTTACAAATATCGTATTGTTTCTAGAAAAGTATAGACCAGCTATATTGAGTTCTTAAAGAGTTAATGAAATCATACTTATTATTATTAAATTATAGTAAAAAATCATGTCAAAATATCATTCCTCTGGCATGTTATAACTGGAGACGTCTAACATTATGTACATATTAGACAAAAATCTATTAACTTTCTTCATTTGTAATTTTACATTTTGATTAAGCAAACCTGAACTTTCAGTAAAACTAATCTAAAAATATGTTTCACTTTAAAACTCCCCTCAAAAAGATGATAGAAACTATGTTACCACCTTTAGCGGTCATTCCTCTGGCTCGCAAGAAGTACGTAAATAATATGATGGTAGATGGCGATATGTCTTCGCACGCAACCAGATATGCTTTTCCTAACCTAGTTCTTGCAGAGTGTCAGTAAGCAAATGTTGTCGAACTAAAACAATACGTGTTCTTTTTAACATTTTGTTCCCAAATTGTTAATGTCACACACAGATTGACCATTCCTCTGGAAGCCTGATGATGAGGGCCGATAATGCCACAGCGGGCTATTGCTGCAAGGCAAAGCGCCCCTC